AACTCATATAACCTGCGCACACTTCCCTCTCGCTGTCGTATCTAGCCCAAACCATTCCCCCAAAATAGATTCCTGGAATTGATTTCTAAGGACTTATGATTGCTTTGCTTCTGAGTTGTTAGCCTCCGAGCAATGGTTCACGTTTCTGTCGACATAGCTTGCTGCTTTGTATATACTGAGGAAAACAAATAAAGGAACACCACTTCATGGCAGTGTTCCCTCCTTCCCACTGTAACTTTACCGATCCACCATTAACTACCTTACCACGTTTCAAATGAAGAGTATCACATTTGTCGAGTCCAAACGTCATTCAAATACCATTAGAAAAGGACTCGAAAAGGGGAACCTGTTCTTTCCAATTGGTATCTCCTTTGGCAAGGAGCTCGATGTCGATGTAATGGAGATGAGTAAGCGGTGTTGGGGATCTGTGCTGAGGAGGCCCTTCTCTCTGTTGTGCAGAAAGCTTCCGAAGTCTACACCTGCCCTTGCGAGTACATCTCAATTAGATATCAAAATGTGGGAAATTCAATACTGAACACATTTTATCCAATAAAACCTACTTCAAGCTTACAATTAGAGCTTACAATTTGTTTTCAGAGGGTGATAGTCATTTTTCACTGCAAGGCTGCCATTTAGTGAAAAATGGGACCTGCGTTATAAACCTTATGCAAATCTAAATTCAAATGGACTTTTAATATCAAATGGACACAAATGTATACTTAGAGACGTAGACTTTCTAATGTATGTAAGTTCTGCTCTCAGTGATCATTATTTTCCCGAGAAAATAACAAAATATCTGCATTTGGGGGGAAGGGGGTGGAATCCTATTTTTTCATACATTTTCCCAATTTGTGAATCTAATAATGCTGAACCCCCACAAATTAAATATCAAAACGTGGGACATTGAATACTGAACATAGTTCACCCACATTTCTATGTCTAATGCTTATAGTTTTAGCTGTAGCATTGTTTTTGTAGACAGAGGGTCGGGTTCAAGAAAATGACCGCCATCTTTAAAAAATGGCCGCCAAAAACCTAATTAGCTTGGCATGGGAGGTGTCTATCACGTGATTTCTTAAAGTACATACCTTAAGCTATATGAAAATCATTGCGACTGTTTGCCCCTCAATTTGGTAGTCAATCAATATTTGCAAAGTCTGCCTCAAGGAATATAAATGACTTTTCTTTGGAAACCGTGTGAAGTTCTTCCAATGTTCGAGCGGCAGCATAGACACAGCAATTAACTTCATGTAATGAACAGTCCGCAGAAAGTGTCATAGAAATAATGTCATTTAATAAATTAATTTCATTTTTTGGGAAAAGAGCCACGTGTTTGTTTGATTGGCCTCTGTTTTTCTAAAGATATGTCAGATATTTCATCATAAATGGAATGAAACAAAATATACACAGGGTTTTCAGAAAGATCTGCAACTGAGGAAGAGGAAGAGTGAGGGTCTATTATTATTATTTATACATATTTATATAGTGCCAATATCCAGATCACCTGCTCAAAGGCACTTTGTGAAACTGACACTAATAACAATAATAATAGTGATAATAATTGTCCACTTATACAGTGCTGAACTCCACGCGGCAGGGACAACATGATGGACATTATTACCCAGTGATGCCAGTGAGGCGTTAGTTGGCTAATAGTCGTGTGATCTTTTCTACCGGGTACCCATTTTCTGCTTTGTGAACAATGGAAGGAGCAGTGGAAGACGTCAAACCTCCTCACATTTCAGAACTATTTATTCCTTCATATATGTTGCAATGTGTTTATCGTGTAAAAAGTACACCAGAAAAATCTATGGCGGCATCGGGGAAATTTATTTTTGTCAACATATGTGTTTACTGAAGGATATGGTCAGAAGGTAAGACACTCCATTGTGTAATGCAGAAGGGTCGCTAAATAGTTTAGATATCATTCTTAACGAACAAGTAATGGTCCCATATTGATCCGGTTGAGAATATAGGTCTCTAGCAGCATATGTTCATCGTTATAGTCGAGCAAAGTGATTACCCTTGGTGTTTTGTGTGTTTGTTTGTTTGTTTAACGCCGCAATATTCCAGCTATATGGATGCGGTATGTAAATATTCGTGTCTGGACCACACAATCCAGTGATCAACAACATGAGCATCGATCTACACAAGTGGAATACGATGACATATGTCAAACAAGTCAGCGAGCCTGACCACCCGATCCCGCTAGTCGCCTCTTACAAGCATGGGTTGCTGAATACCAATTCTACCCCGGACCTTCACGGGCATCATCTTCATATAGGAGTACCTTTTCGTCTCTATGACTGAATGAAGGCTTCACTACCGGTTGTACTGTGCTCCCAGTTTGTTAAGAATTATCCAACTATTAGAACCAAATATCTCATACAATTTTGCAAATTTTAAGATGTTTCCTAGTGTCCCTTGAAGTGGATATTAGTCCTGGGCACAAACAAAGGACTAACGGAGGGAACCTGCTATTATCTAGACAAGCGCACGGCATTTCGGGGAGAAAAGCGAGAAGAGGATTATCCCCTACTTCTTGTGAAGAGTAGCTGTCAATACTGTAATGACACATTTTGTTTTCCATCAGTGAGGAGGTTATTTTAAAATAAAATTTCTACTTTCATCTTAAAAATATACAGGTTCATAAATACATAATACACACCTCAAAACAGAAAATATTTTTTGTATGTAGTTTTACATAATAAATATTTAGGAATATATGTATCACTTTTAAGGTTAGGTTAATAAAAAATCACGATGAATACTAATAGAAAATACTTGAAAATCAAGATTGTGTCCATTTTTTAAGAATATCGTAGATGAGATTCATTTTATGATAGAATATATAATATAATAGGTTTCGACTAAAATATATCATAAATATGCAATATGTTAATGAAGATTGTCTAATAAATCTTCTTCAAAATGTCAACCCTAATTGTATACCTCTTTATGCAAACTTTATCCAAGAAGCTTTCATGTTATGCTGCTCATTACTGAAAACGTGGTGAGGTGAAATTGGGTTTAAGATCGTTCTTGAGAATATTTCGCTCATATGACGACCTGTATGCATGTGCATGTGTGGCTGCTTGTTCTAGCCCAGACTTAAGCTGGTTTTATATGAATACCCCACTCAGACACATTACACTTACTCCGAGCCGACCAGTCCTTGCTGTACCCATTAATACCTAGCGCCAGGCAGGGACCAACAAGTACCATATTTTAACGTCTTTTAGTATGACGCGGCCGGGGATTCACTTCCGGTCAGACGCTCAAACCACTACACCACGGTGGTGGTCTACTGTAAATATTTTCGTACATATTTTCAACGTATATGCTCTAAATATATCTTATACATATGTTGGTGTTGCGAACTTAAGCACCTTGTATGTACAGATAGATATTCATTATTTCCTCCAACTGAATGAAGATTACAATGTCTGGTAATAATATATTTTACATGAAATGATTAAGATAGATAATTGATAGAGTCACAAATTTTCATATACATACAAGTGTTTTAGCAAGTATCGCAATTTCCTTATAAAATGGCTTACATTAATTATTACTTTTGCCCATACATCTCTTTGCAGTTCCATGATACACGCTATTGGACATCCACCAAGTAAAAATGCAAGAATGACATCATCATCTTGATCCCAGATCTTAACAAAAGTTTCTACATCCAGAATATCACATATGGAGTTAAAAAGTTCATTTCTGTCATTCATATTTATCGTACATGACATAAACACGTGCTTTACAATATCATTGGCGACAGTTTTAAATAAACATTCTCTTGAAACAATTTCAGCTGATCAATAGAATACAAGTCTTGCAATATCAGTTAACTGGTCGTTTGTCTCTGCAGCTAGCATCCAGAGATAGTGTTCATTGCTGAATCTTATATTGATATATCTTGACAGACAAAGTCTTGAATTAAGATGAACATAAAATAGATTTTCTCGATGAAATTTAGTAGCATCATTTACGGCTTTGGACCAGCATTTCTTACTGATGAATTGACCATTATTGACATAGTTCGCTAGTATATCGTTTAGGTTATACTTATGTACAAGTTGCAGCATATTATATATCGGGGACTTTCTACTACATACGCTGCATGTAGAACTATCTTTACACATAAATTGACCAAGGCGAACTAGAAACATTACTTTAAAAACACAGTTATACTTTGCATTACATAACTTTCCTAATAGGTAGAGGGCTCTGTTATCTATATAATACTGTAGTGGCATGATACCGATACAATCCAATGCAACAATACTGGGAGTGCGCTTGTGTAGTCCTTGAACTTTTTAACAAAATTGTCGTTGTACAACTTCAAGCATTTCATACTCTTTAAGAGGCAGTTTACCCCATACGTTACATCCATAGAGGCCACATGATAAGATTACCCTCTCCCAGATACGTGCTGCAGATATCGGGTTAAGACCTCCAAAATACAACCCATTATTATGATTAGTGTTCATGAGTACTCGTAGCTTTTCACATGCAGTTTTTGTACGTTCAAGTGATTATTTACCTGTACTGAGATGTACACCTGCATATTTAATAGATTTCTTTTGTGGAACATGCATATCACCAATTAATACATTACTGATGTTAGCGTTATTGTTTGAGCATTTAAAGTGTAGAACCGGACTCTTGCTTACATTATATTTTAGCTGCCACTTATGAGCATAGTTTTTAGCGACATCGAGAAGATTTTGCAGGCCTTTGGTAGAGGAACTCATCAGAGTAGTGTCATCAGCAAGAAGAATCCCAGGGCATTTACCCCATGGCAAAATTGAGCCAGAATCTGAATTCCCAAGTTCATATAGGAGGTCATTAATAAATAAGGTGAAAAGCCAGGCGGACAATTCTCTACCTTGGCCTACTCCTTGATTGACGGGGAATGTATCCGATTTAAACCCTTCAAAGCATACAAATGATTTCATGGAGCTATAGGAGAGCCTTAATATTCTCCATAGTTTACCCGTTATTCCAATATCACACAGTTTGATAAATAAGCCACCAAGCCACACCCGATCAAATGCCTTTTCATTATCTAAGAATGCACAGTATACAGGCGACATCCTTTCATTGTAATATGCAATGTTTTCTTTTAACGTCAGTACGGCGATTTCAGCACCATAGTGACGCCTAAATCCAAATTGCAGAGGATGGGGAAATTCTATCTTAGTATCTATCCAGGACTCTATTCTGTTAAGGAGAAGCCTTTCAAAGAGTTTACTTAATACAGAAGTCATGGTTATTCCTCTATAATTGGCAGGGTCATGTTTTGGTTTACCGTTGCCCTTGTGTATTGGAAGAATTTGACCTATAGAAAATGATTTAGGAATGTATTCAAACGTAATATATTCAATATTAGCAATTTGCTCTTTCACATTCTGAGCATGTACATAGTCACATTTTACATCAGGGGATATTTTCAACGTATATGCTCTAAATATATATTGGAAATATGTTGGTGTTGCGAACTTAAGCACCTTGTATGTACATATCTCGCATTCATATTGTAGCCTCTATACTGAATATTTATGTATTTCTATCTACATGCCTGTAACTGCTTGTTAGTCTATCGAAGCAACAAAACCCTTTCCACATCGATAAGAAATCTCTGCCAAAAGCAGAGTCGATTGTACAGTCATTAAGGAACTTATTGTGACTGTATCATGAGCAGATATTTGTGTTACAGCTGTATGATGCTGTTTGTAAACAAATCAAGTCTGGACCAGACAATCCAGTGATTGCCACCATACGATACGATGACAGAGCTTGTGTTTATGAATCACTATGAAATAGTGATGATACCAGGTGTTCGCGAATAGGTGAGCGTATCCTGCCCCACCGGTGGCACTCGTCATGAACATATGCTAAATCTAATTATTTGTTAACCTGAAATAATCTGGGAACGTATGGTATATGTCAAAACAGGAATTGCAGACATCATTTTTGCCACTGATGCATCAAATCTGGAAAATTCCTCCACATGTCTACCATAAAACTTCTTGAACGATTTACTGCTGCCTTGAATGTTGTAACCTTGATCAAACAACTTCTGAGCAAGAGTGGCTGAAACTGTTTTTTAATTCCCTGTTGTGTTGTTTTTGAATTGGTCAGCATTACACACAGCCAATGATGACCACACTGAAGATTTAAATCCCACTGGGAAATAATACGGATGGAGAAGCACCGTGATTCACCAATAAGGTGATCTAGCTTTGGTTGCTAGTGGTCTATAGATTAGTTTCATTCATAATAAATAATCTGATAAAAAATATTTGTTTTAATATTCATTTGGTTCGTTTTATACCTAAAGTGTGATACCTACCTCACTGTTTTACTGTCCTTTAAAGACAGGTATTTAATAATAACTGTCTCTAGGTGTTATGACTGATCAATCTATTACCGAACTTTTAACTGGAACCTTGTCACCGTGCATCAATACTTTCCATCCACGCAAGACGAAACCCATTTTCTTCTTTAAGCGGCATTTTAGAATTTGCGAAATACAATAATGAAAAATATATGGATGACAACTTCTTCTCTTTGTGATTGAGACGAAAGATAAGAATTGAATCAAATTCCTGTGAACGTGATAGACAAAATGTAGGGGAACACCTTTGAAATGAGAAAGCTGGGTGTTCGCGAACTAACAGCAACAGTAGTGAGTGAGTGAGTATGGCTTAACGCCGAGTTTAGAAATATTCCAGTACTATCACAGCGGGGGACACCAGCAATGTTCTTCACACGTTGTACCAATGTGGGGAATCGAATCCGGGTCTTTGACGTGACGACTGGACGCTTTAACCATTAGGCTACCCCATCGCCGAAACACTGAACAGAAGGATGTTACCGAAAAAAATAATGTATACATACACTATCGTTGACCAGTTGCTGATGCCACTGCGAAGAAAATATAGACAACGGGTGTTTGGGAACTAACAGCCTGTTAGTAAGTGAGTTAAAAAAAAATTCAAGTCACATCGCCAGTATTTCAGCCATATCGTGACTATGAAAGCTGTAAATTTGTAAATCCCCAACTAACAGCAACACTGAACAGAAGGAAGTTACCGAAAACAATAACGTATGGATACACTACCTTCGACCAGTTGCTGATGTCACTGTGTAGAAATCCACATTAGGACACCGGGTGTTTGCGAACTATCAGCAACAGTGAACAGAAGGATGTTACCGAAAACAATAACGTATGGATACACTACCTTCGACCAGTTGCTGGTGTCACTGTGTAGAAATCCACATTAGGACACCGGGTGTTTACCATCTAACAGCAACGCTGAACAGAAGAAAGTTACCGAAAACAATAACGTATGGATACACTACCTTCGACGAGTTGCTGATGTCACTGTGTAGAAATCCAGATTAGGACACCGGTTGTTTGCAAATTAACAGCAACAGTGAACAGAAAGAAGTTACCGAAAACAATAATGTATGGATACGCTACCTTCGACCAGCTGCTGATGTCACTGGCTTGTGGGCAGCATTTGACGAAACATTAAAAGTAAGGAAACACATTTTTCTTCCTTGGTCGAAATCAAATGAAGTACAAATGGATGTCATGACGCAGGTGGCAGCACAACTGAAAACACTGGATTTTACTTCAAAGTTGTAAATGACGTTTTTCAATCTGTAGCCTGTCTCCATCAAACTGCTCACATAGCAACTGTCAGGATTTCCGGACACAATTACGAATCCCGACACCGTTAGACAGGCAACGAGGGCGTTTATGACGAAATATAATATCAGAAACAAACAGTCCTGTATCCAAATAGAATATGCACCAGGATATCTTTTTGGTCGCTTTAAAGTTTCATAGACTGGGATTGTTGTCGTTGGGAGTTCAGAGCAAATGTGTTTGTTGTTTTAGGGTCCATAATCTGCTAATGAGAGACTGAGAACTTGGCATCAATATTTGAACGTGTTCCCACCTTAACCTGTCTTTGCAACATAAATATTCTTCGTGTTGTAAATATTGCATGATCAATAATCTTCCTTCCTTAATGACTAAATCGTCTTTTTCATCCAATATTTTTGAGCGATTGGTTATAAGAATACAATGTGCATCATTCACAATCGAATCTGACTGGCAATGGTGAATCTGACGTGAATCATGGCGGTCACAATGTGTTTTGAGTTTGATCTCATCACATAAACAACTTTGTTTCGTTGCCAGACAACGTGTATGTTCCCGTAGTGTCGCATGCAAACAACATATCCCCTATTTCCCAATGTGCTGTTTTTGTAGATTTCTTACTAATATGGTAATAGTGTTTGTGATGTCATATTACGTCAGCTGACCAATTTGCTTTGAGAATCGCGGAAAATGCACATGTACATGTATTTATTGGTAACAAGAAGACAAAGTCATCAATATCCCCCGGAATTGCAAAATACACTTCATGAATATGTCGACCCGTGAAGGTCCGGGTTAGAATGAACCTTCAGTAACCCATGCTTGTCGTGAGAAAAACTAAACTCACTCACTCACTCATGTATATTCAGATTGAGTGAGTGAGGTTTTAGCAATATTCCAGCAATAACACGGCAGGGGACACAGAAATAGGCACATGATTGTACCTATGCCTCACATTGGCCTTCGGCGTGACGAGCGAACCACTGGGCTACCCCGCCGGCCTCCGTATTCAGAGAGTGACAATCATCTACAGCTTAGTTACCTAACATTTGACGGTAACAGTAGTGTCCTTTAACATAGAAAGTCGGTTTACAACATTGATAATTAATATATAAGACTAACAGTATTTATACCTAACATGGTAACAAATATGTTGTTTCACACAAAGGTTTATCATTATGATTACGTAAAATAGAAGCAAAATTCAATAGGTACATCGATAAATAGCACTTACCTCTCTCTCTCTCTCTCAATAGCATGAGCATCGATCTACGCAGTTGGGATGCGATGGCATGTGTCAACCAATGAGGCCACCCGATGAGGTTAGTCGCTTACAAGAATGGGATGGGTTACTGAAGATCAATTCTAACCCGGATCTTCACGGGTTTACAACAACACAGTCGCTTAATGAGTTTATATAAGGCTAACAGTATTTAATCTACCATGTTAACAATGTTAACAAATGTGTTGCTTAACATAGAATGTTAACATTACAATTACGTAATAGACAAATAAGAACAGTTTCACCTGAAATGAATTCCGCGCTTCAATACAAAGCATTTATTCCTCTGATAGAAAGACCCAAATACAAATTAAAGAAACCCAATAAATACTATTTTCAGAAATCCAGAATTTCCACTCAAACACGTACGCATTTATGTTTATTCAGCTCATATGCGTTCAGATATACGTCGCTCCTATAGTACAGCGTTAAACATATACATTTATACGCCAGTACGTGACCACAATACGTGCGTGACTTCATCACGTGGCATCGTGCGTGACCTCGTGGCATCGTGCGTGAACCCGGGTTTTCAGCGTAACGAGCGGATGCTTTAACCAGAAGGCTCCCTCACCGCCCCGACTTAATAGTTCAAGATCAAACAAGCACCGTGTCTTTACGAAATGATCTGATAGAGAAATATATCTTTTTCCACACAAATAATATTCAATACGTTTCATGCCGACATTAGACCCGTTCTTGTTGAAACACTGGTCTTGTGGGACAATCGCTAGCAATGTACTATTGTCAACATTCTAAATCACATTTCAGATCACGTCTCACTGCGACATCTGTACGAGATAAGTACGCTACTTAGCATCCCCGTCTGGATCCAGGAGAAAGTAGGTCAACATGACCCAAAAACCCAGTTGCGTCTTGTCGCCCTCCAGGGTGAGGTGAGGTGAAATTGGGTTTAACGTCCTGCTTGAGAATATTTCGCTCATATCACGACGTGCATGCGTGTGTATGTGTATGTGCGGCTGCTTGTACTAGCCCAGAAGTAAGCTGGTTTTATAGTGCTAGCCCACTGAGATACCATGCCGCAGTGAAGCAGGAATCCCCCACTCAGACACATTATACTGACTCCCAGCTGACTAGTCTTTGTTGCACCCACTAATGCCGAGCGCCAGGCAGGGACGAACAAGTACCATATTTTAACGTCTTTTGGTATGACGCGGTCGGGGATCGAACCCTCGACCTTCCGCTCTCCGGGCGGACGCTCTAACCACTACACCACGGAGGCGGTCTTCGCCCCCCAAGGGTTCAATGCTCGTGTCACTGTTTTGCTTTGTGCATTTAATTAACAACAGGCTTGGGTTTTGCTGGCTGAAGTCCATAACACAATCTAAACTCACGCCTCGCCATTTTGTAACGTGTCCTCTTTGTTCGTGGTAAGTGCACAATGGCCATTTAACAGTTTCAGACAGTTTCACTCATGTAGATGTAATTGTGGAAGTGTTCAAGGCACGCCTGGAAGGACATCTATGTTTCATTAACATTGTTTAAAAGATAGGAGAAATCCCAGACATTGTGATGGCGGCAAATGAGATTATTTAGTCTGGTAAATATCCTTGAAAGCGAATGGTTGAAGAGCTCGTAAAATGTCCAGACGAGCGAATAGATTAGACTTATGAAACCTGGTTGTTTTTGACAAATATGGAAGCCTTGATCGTTCGAGAAGTTTCTGCAATATCGGCTGTTCGTATATAAGGTCGAGCTCTTCTTCGACCAAACGTGTAAAAGATGGATTGGGATATCTGTATAATAACACGAAATTCTTGAATATTCTTGTCAGTTTCCAACACTATTCCGTGTTACAGTGACAAACCCGTTTCAAGGCACACAACAGAAAAGTATGGACATATACTGTAGAGTCTGTCACCTATTACTGCTTCCGCTTACTTGACTCTTGCGATTGTACCCAACAACCGCAGGTGATGCTGTATTGAGGGCGTTCTATGAAATGTTAATTCTTTTGAAACGTCCATGACTATATAACCCGTCATTCAGGTAAATGTAAATGTTTGCGTACATGATATGCAATTAAATTCTTTCCTTCCTAGTAATATCCCTAACATATGCTTTTAAGATCTGGTTTGTTGTTAAGCGCCGTGTTCAGTAATAGTCCAGCTATATGGTGGCGGTCTGAATATAATCGAGTCTGGACCAGAGAATCCAGTGATCAACATAATGAGCATCGATCTAAGCAATTGTGATTCGATGACAACCAAGTCAGCGAGCCTGGCCACCTGACCCGTTAGTCGCCTTTTACGACAAGTGGGTTACTGAATCTAGGATATGATTGGTCGTCGTGTGTAACAAAGGGATCCTCCTGTACAGAACCAATTGGAAGCTGCTTTACATGAGGGATGGCGTAGACTGATCCTTCAGAGGATCGGGAGGCTGACAGGGGGTATGAGGAGCAGAATGCTAGCTGTCATACTATTACATGGAGGTTACACTCTGTATTGACCATGAATCGTGTAAGACAAGCAAAATGACATTTCGAATGTTCACATTCACCAATAAATTCAACATTAAAAATTCCAGGGTCATACTTGTACAGACATGGTTTTGTCTGAAAATCGGTGTTTTCTTAAAATGAGCAATTATCATCATACAATCAAACATGGATTCCAATCATTTTGTCGTTTTCTATGAGTCAAAGGATCATACGGGTCATCGTGGTCACCACGTGTTGAATACCCATTGCAAAAATGCAGGGGTGCTTAATTATGCTCGTTTAGTCAGGAGCTCAAACACGACAAAAACACCACAGATGCTGCTTCAAGGGAGTCAACTCCTTCATAACTCATTGTAGCACACCGGATGGGCAAGTGACAGTCAGCACGTAGTCCAAATATAAATCATCAACTTAACTCCACTCGCTTCTTGACATATTCTTTTTAGGATCTAAACAAGTTATATCAGCCCAGTGAGCAAAATGTATATTAACAGATTCTGATCTGTTGTCTGTTTCACTGATATTGAGTACCATCTTCACCTTGAACTTGATCAGTTCGACTTCCAAGTTGTTTTTGAACTGTTGCAGATTTCCACTCCTTTTCACCCAGTTTTACTGGTATCAGATTTGCGTTTGTCTATCAGTGACGTTTGGTTGTTATGAACACTCAGTCTTGATGTCACTGTTGGTAGTAGTGTTCTTGTCCTCCTTTCAAACAATCTCTCACTTGGGCCTGTGTCCCTTCTGTCGGGGTAGTTTTCAGGCTGACAAGTCCTACGTATGTGTCTGCATTACTTGCTTCACATTTCCACATGAGATTTGTGGCGGTTTTTACAGCTGCTTCAGCTGCTCCATAAGACTGACTGTTTCCAGAAATTGACATGTCATGTATAAATCCATAGTTATCTGAAAATTACTTGAATTTTCCTGATGAGAACTGAGGACCTCCACCCGAAATGACTTTATCTGAGATTCCGTGTCTTGAAAGGTGATGCTTCAAATTGGTGATGACTGACTGAGATGATGTGTTAGTCAACTTCAAAGAATTTGCTGTAACAGTCAATTGTCACCATATAGTTGCGACCTTGTAGAGAGAATAGATCACAGCCCACATTTTCCCAGGGTCTTTCAGGTGTTTTTCTATGGTGCAGAGATTCTTGCGGTTGTCGTGTTCTGTACTCTGCACAAGCATCACATGATTCTATGGAGTGTATAATGTCTTGTGACATTTTGGGCAAGAATAGTGACCTGGCTCTCAGTAGTCAAGAGCTGATTCCAAGATGACAAGCGTGTACGTTTTCCTTCATTTCAGTGAACCAGGAATAATAAACCGACTGTGACGTCACTCTATTGTTCACTCTATTACACATTTTCTCGTAATATCCCTCAAATCTGATACAATCTCGCTTCCTCGGGCCATTATCTAAATAATGTCCCTCTGTCCCGGGCAATTATCTTAATAACGTCCCTGTGCCCCGGGCATTATCTTAATAACGTCCCTCTGACCCGGGATTTTCTGAGGGATAGCCCTTGACTTTGAATTATTACTTGTTTTGAAGATTGATACAACTTTGTCTTGCCATCAAAGAAACTGTGCATACAAAAAATTAAAATCTAAATTTATCAAACCTGTGTAGACACGTAAGGATCTAAACTCAGAGATTGGTGACATGTATCCAACATGCATGCACGTGCCACGTTCCGTGACGTCAGTGGGTTCGTCCTTGAGGCGTGCAATACGTTGTTGCACGTGCATTCCGGGAAAGAGAAACAGAGCAAATGAATGCCACACAATACTGTCACTATGGAAAGCTCAACCCCTGCCCTTGCGATCGTTTACAAAATTAAACGGCTATTGAAACGCATAGCATGCCAAGGCTCACGTCTGCTCAACGTCATGAGGCCATCGGGATGGTCCGTGGGGGAATGTCTAAACGACAAGTGGCTGCACATTTCCACTGCCACCTGAACACCATTTTTGCACTGTTGAGACACTACCAGAACACAAATGACGTCATCGATCGGCCACGTTCTTGACGTCCACGTGTAACAACGCCAAGACAGGACAGATGGATAAGGGTAACCCATCTTCGCGACAGGTTTCAGACTGCAGTGATGACTGCCCGAACCATCCCAGGACTTCTCCAAATCCACCCCAACACAGTTAGACAACGTTTACGTCATCACGGGATCAGACCACGACGTCCCGCCATACGGCCTATCTTGACACAACGTCATCGACAAGCTCGCCAAATGTGGTGCCGAAATCATGTCCACAGACCCTTGTTTTGGTGGAGAAATGTTGTTTTTACAGATGAGTCCAGGTTTAACATTTCCCATAGTGATGGACGTCAACGTGCCTATAGACGCATGGGAGAACGTTATGCACAGGCCTGTGTCTTGGAGAGGAATCGCTTTGGTGGTGGTTCCGTGATGATTTGGGGTTGGAATAACAGCACGCCAAAGAACTCCTTTGGTGATTGTTCAGGGCAACTTAACTGGTGTGGGCTACAGGGATCAGATTCTTCGACCTGTGGCAATTCCTTTTCTGCAACGTCATGGCCATGGGTTAACATTCCAACAGGGCAATGCCCGCCCTCATTCGGCAAGGGTTGCTATGGATTTCTTGCAACACCACAACGTTGACTTACTGCCTTGGCCTGCAAATTCACCGAATCTCTCCCCGATAGAGCATGTTTGGGACGAGATGGATCGACGTCTACGCCGTCTTCCTCATCCGCCAGATAACGTCCTTGAGTTTGCAACAGATCTTTAGAGAATCTGGCGTGACATCCCACAAGCCTTCCTTGCACGTTTGATAGGCTCTATGCATCGTCGATGCACTGCTGTTCTCAATGCCGATGGTGGACATACCCGCTATTGAGCTTGTGACATGGTCGTTTGACCCCTGTCCCGCTTGTGGACTCATGACGTCATTGTGATTGACTTTTCAATTGAAATTCTCCCGACTTGTTATGGTCTCTTAACGTTTATATGTACCTTTGACATTGTTATCGTAGTTATCAACTGGGATAATATTTTGACAATGCACATTTTCTTTATGTGGCTAGTATATATGGCGAATGCAAAGGCTTCAAAAAAGAAACATACAAGTTTATGAATGACAACTTCTTGTTTATTGCAGAGGGCGACGTTTTGATGAAGATTCTTACATATATTCTTGATAACGGTGTAAGAATCTACATTGCTCTCTGCAATATACAATAAGTTGTCATTCATAAATTTGTACATTTCAGTTTTTGACTCACCAACTTCTAGAATGCCGATCAAACAATTAGTAAAAGATTTAATATGGTTCGAAACACGGACGTGAGGAACCAGATTGTGTCAATTGGCCATGTGTTCTCTACTGACACCGTTGATCAAGTGATGCAGAGTGACATTTACCGCATGTATTTCGAGTCCATAGTGAGGTGCAAGAACAGGAACACGCATCTCTTTTTAGTGCACCGCCATTACTGCAGGATATTGTGCAGGTGTTTGTTTCTGGAAAAAAATGCAGTTAGACAGATTGCAATAGCGCAGGGGATGTATTTGAGATGGTTTCTTTCCAAAGATTCATTTTCAGGAGACGTTTCATGTACGTTCATGTAACAGGTTAGTTTTAGTTCAACGTTCGAAATTACCAGCGGTCCTTAGGCTCGAACCCGACAGAAAACCACTTGGACCCACAGTCCTGAGGCCCGATGCCGACTGAAAACCACTTGGACCCATAGCTTTTGTTTTCTGCAGGTCCTCATGGCTGACAGCTTTTTCATTCCGAATGACTCTGACTGCTGTGACATATTCCTGTCTGAACATTTTGATTCAGACTTTTCAGAAGACTTGGATCTTGTTGTAAATGAGGACTACTCAGACACGAGTGTTAAATTAAAACTCTTTAATTCAGTTTGTTAGTTTTGAATTATTTATATTGTAGCGGAAATATAGGACCTACACATTCTGATCAGGACCCTCAACTCTTTTATGGTCCTGGGTCTTTAGGTCCTGCGACTTTTCAGAGTTAAGGTCAAACACTGCTTTATTTGCAAGTGTCGTGTAATGAACCACATACGTATGTGTTCTGACAGTGTTAACTATGTTCAGCAGTGTTAGCTGGAACTTTGCATTAAGTCAAAATACCTTCAATTATGCATGGTCCTGCATTGTTAAGGGGATTGTGAATATTCTTCTGAAGAATCTTTTGAGATTCACATCTTACCACACGTGGATCCCAGTGTAGAACTCTATACAGGCACAAGTGCAGGTGTTCCTCCGTTGAGACAAGCCTTAGTGCAGGTGTTCGTCTCTGAAACATACAAAACGACATTAACACTTAGTTAAAAATAACGATGATACTGACACTTCGTGTTTGGTAATGTAACTGTTTCTGTCCCCCGCATTACTCTGTATGCGGCGTTTGTGTGTGTGAAATGCTGCCTTTTCAGATCTCTGAATAACATAATGTTTGCGTTTCCATGGCTACATTTTTTAATGAAATTGGTGATAGCTCTCTTTTCCATCGCAGAACTTAAAACCGTTCAATGTTTCTTCACCATATTTATCACATAGATCGGTCTGGTGGTAAGCTGGTCCCCGTTGGTAGTTTCGAGTTTCTGAATAAAATATTGTTTGCATTTCTATAGCAACAAATTTGACGTCGATTGAAATTGGTGTTTGTGATCTTTTCTGGAGCAGAACTTAAAAACCGTTCAATGTTTCTTCACCACATTTGGCACACAGATAGGTCTGGAGGTGAGCTGGTGCCTTTTGGTGGTTTTGGATTTGTGGATAAAATATTTTTTGCGTTTCCATGGCAACAAGTTTGACTTCGAGTGAAATTGGTGTTGGTGCTCTTTTCCGGAGAACTTTAAAACCGTTTATTATTTTATTCACCAAACTTTTTTTTATCACTTTTTGTATTTTTTTATCTGGGTACAGCATTTCATACACGTTTAACAGATCTGCGTATTTGTTGTATTATATAGCAAGTCAAATTATTAACTGTGTGCATATATTCTTCACCAAACTTGGCAGATAGATAGGTCTGGTTATGAACTTGTGCCTTTTGGTAGTTTTGGATTACTGAATAAACTAAGTTTTGCATTTCCATGGCAACAAGTTTGACTTCGACTGAAACTTGTGGTAATGATCATTTCCGGAACAGGAATTAGAAATCTTTCAATACTCTCTTCCCACGTTGTGGGTATCCAAGAAGCTAATGATAGAAATTAACAGAAACTCTATCAACATTACTGAGGTACATCAAACCATAATTTGACATAGCCATAACTAGTTGACATATTCATGGAGAGTATTTTACCATTGAGAGGGATAGTGATGACTTGTCTTCTTGTTTCATTTTGTTTTGTTTTGTTTATTTGTTATAACGGTATCGTCAACCTGGGAGTCGACACGTAACTGAACTCACAACCTACCACCCGTAGTTCCAGTGTAGAACTCTCTTCAGGCACAGGTGCAGGTATCTGTGTTCCGCGTTCCTCCATTGAGACATGATGTAGTGCACGTGTTCGTTTCTGAAAATTACAGTAGCACAATCATGGTGAAAAACAGGATGATACTTAGAAAGGTGTTTAGTGAATGACTGAGTGAGGGGGTTAATGTTTACGCCGCTTTTTGCAATATGGGCTCACACATCGTACCGTGTGGGGACTAGAATCATGGTCTTCGCCGTGACGAGCAAACGCTTTAACCGCTAGACTAACCCACTGGCCCCTTAAGAATATTAGTTATATTTTTATATGGTACATCATTCTCTTCCCACAGAGGTTGCTTGTCATATCTTCCTATCTTCCTCGTAAAATCCCCTAGCGGCCAAAAATCGCAACACGAATTATCTCCCTTCTTTCTATCCAATCAGAACACGTGTTACATCGACTTAGATCCGACTTGACTAATACAAGCAAATGAGGGGCCACAAATATCCCTCCTCTGTAGTGGACTTGTGTTGATGTGGCACAAGGCATTTAATGGCTAGCTTGTCCGTTGTCAACGACGGCGATGGAGACGCCATTGATCCGCTTTTACACGACTGAGTCCTGTCTAGAAAAAACGTTTGCGTATCGCGCAGGGGAAGAGATTCTAGCTTCCCCGAAGCATACGGAAATGACCGAGACCCTGCGAATGATCACTTTTGAAACAACGTCGCTGATTGCACAACTAAATCTGATTGCAACCAATCACGAATCCTGAACACTCGCCCCATGAAAGGACCGTATTAGAACAGAGGTTCGTAGGAAGATATGTCAAGTAACCTCTGTGGGAAGAGAATGATGGTACATATAAATTATTTCACAGCACTAAACCTCATGCAACATGAATAACCTGAATAATGCAAAGATACACCACATCAAAATGTGTTCTACTCTATGTTAGATAATAAGTCTTCTAATTTCTATTCTGAAGAAGATTTTGATATAAGCGACGTACCACACACAGGGGTCCAGTGTTTCTTCGTTGTCTACTGGTTTCAGACATAGTTCCCTAACGCAGTTATTGCCCTTTAACATATACGTTTCAACTTGACAGTCAGCACGTAACAAAATACCACCCGTAGTTCCAGTGTAGAACTCTCTTCAGGCACAGGTGCAGGTATCTGTGTTCCGCGTTCCTCCATTGAGACATGATGTAGTGCACGTGTTCGTTTCACAGAAAATTACAGTAGCACAATCATGGTGAAAAACAGGATGATACTTAGAAAGGTGTTTAGTGAATGACTGAGTGAGGGGGTTAATGTTTACGCCGCTTTTTGCAATATGGGCTCACACATCGTACCGTGTGGGGACTAGAATCATGGTCTTCGCCGTGACGAGCAAACGCTTTAACCGCTAGACTAACCCACTGGCCCCTTATAGAATATTAGTTATATTTTTATATGGTACATCATTCTCTTCCACAGAGGTTGCTTGTCATATCTTCCTATCTTCCTCGTAAAATCCCCTAGCGGCCAAAAATCGCTTAACACGAATTATCTCCCTTCTTTCTATCCAATCAAGACACGTGTTACATCGACTTAGATCCGACTTGACTAATACAAAAAGCAAATGAGGGGCCACAAATATCCCTCCTCTGTAGTGGACTTGTGTTGATGTGGCACAAGGCATTTAATGGCTAGCTTGTCCGTTGTCAACGACGGCGATGGAGACGCCATTGATCCGCTTTTTACGACTGAGTCCTGTCTAGAAAAACGTTTGCGTATCGCGCAGGGGAAGAGATTCTAGCTTCCCGAAGCATACGGAAATGACCGAGAACTCCTTGCCCGAATGATCACTTTTGAAACAACGTCGCTGATTGCACAACTAAATCTGATTGCAACCAATCACGAATCCTGAACACTCGCCCCATGAAAGGACCGTATTAGAACAGAGGTTCGTAGGAAGATATGTCAAGTAACCTCTGTGGGAAGAGAATGATGGTACATATAAATTATTTCACAGCACTAAACCTCATGCAACATGAATAACCTGAATAATGCAAAGATACACCACATCAAAATGTGTTCTACTCTATGTTAGATAATAAGTCTTCTAATTTCTATTCTGAAGAAGATTTTTGATATAAGCGACGTACCACACAGGGGTCCAGTGTTTCTTCGTTGTCTACTGGTTTCAGACATAGTTCCCTAACGCAGTTATTGCCCTTTAACATATACGTTTCAACTTGACAGTCAGCACGTAACAAAATACCACACATAGTTCCAGTGTAGAACTCTCTACATGCACAGGTGCAGGTATCTGTGTTCCGCGTTCCTCCATTGAGACATGATGTAGTGCACGTGTTCGTTTCTGAAAATTACAGTAGCACAATCATGGTGAAAAACAGGATGATACTTAGAAAGGTGTTTAGTGAATGACTGAGTGAGGGGGTTAATGTTTACGCCGCTTTTTGCAATATGGGCTCACACATCGTACCGTGTGGGGACTAGAATCATGGTCTTCGCCGTGACGAGCAAACGCTTTAACCGCTAGACTAACCCACTGGCCCCTTAAGAATATTAGTTATATTTTTATATGGTACATCATTCTCTTCCCACAGAGGTTGCTTGTCATATCTTCCTATCTTCCTCGTAAAATCCCCTAGCGGCCAAAAATCGCAACACGAATTATCTCCCTTCTTTCTATCCAATCAGAACACGTGTTACATCGACTTAGATCCGACTTGACTAATACAAGCAAATGAGGGGCCACAAATATCCCTCCTCTGTAGTGGACTTGTGTTGATGTGGCACAAGGCATTTAATGGCTAGCTTGTCCGTTGTCAACGACGGCGATGGAGACGCCATTGATCCGCTTTTACACGACTGAGTCCTGTCTAGAAAAAACGTTTGCGTATCGCGCAGGGGAAGAGATTCTAGCTTCCCCGAAGCATACGGAAATGACCGAGACCTTGCGAATGATCACTTTTGAAACAACGTCGCTGATTGCACAACTAAATCTGATTGCAACCAATCACGAATCCTGAACACTCGCCCCATGAAAGGACCGTATTAGAACAGAGGTTCGTAGGAAGATATGTCAAGTAACCTCTGTGGGAAGAGAATGATGGTACATATAAATTATTTCACAGCACTAAACCTCATGCAACATGAATAACCTGAATAATGCAAAGATACACC